TTGAAGTCCACACATCTTCAAGTGGCCAAGGCTGAGAAACACTGGGTTAGAGGAAATGACTTTCTTGGCACTGACTTCTAAAAAAACAGTCAGGGTGGAAGCGCTTGGAGTGAATATCCTGATTTAGCACTCATTTGCATATAATTATATATAGCTGGTAAGTAAGGGCAATTCCAGGCATGCGGGGAGGACCAGTGCCTGCTCTCTCCTACAGGTTTTTAATTTGTCTATTTTGGTTCTAAAGGGGAAAAAAAAAAAGCAGAATATCCTACTTTCCCCCATGGTTAAATGGCATTATTGCAGAAACAGATGGGCTTCAGCTTGGGGGATGGGAAGAAAACTACTTCATCCATTGGTCCAGTCACCATGGCACTTTTAGGGTAGTTGTGAACATGAAATGGGACAATCCCAGATGCCACATAGCTCGGAAGGAAGCCATGAGGTTGATCTGCTCCATAATCTTTATTGTCTTTTTAAAACGATCTGCCTTGTGGAGTGCCATTCTGACATTCCACGCTGGCTTTTGTACCATGTAATCAAATTTCTGTCTGTCCAAGATTTAGAATTTTGGAAAGGCTGTTCAAAAATGACAGATAGCAGGATACCATCTCCCTTGGAACAGTTTCCAATCACCAGCAGTATCTCCCAAGGAAGAAATCTTTCAGCAGATCTCACCATGGCATGCATTCTTAAAGGTTTTAACACCATGGCTCTGAAAGCAGGGTTGGACGATTGACTAACTGTGTGGCAGCCTGACCAGTTCTTCTGCTGCAAGAACCAATGAGATCTTAGGCACTTCTTGGAGTCAGGGTGCAGGGGCTCAAGACCTGGTACTCCCCAAACATCACATTTTGCTTCAGTGAGTGTGATGACGACAGAGTGTTGTCATGCAAATGATGTCATCTGAGTACCTAGGTTACATCATTTGTATCATCTTTGTGACAATCTCGACATATGTGATGTCCCTTGTTCTCCTGCAGATACTCCTAAGTCTGAGGTCCCAGAATATTTCTGGTTTCAATAGTAAAGAACATATATTCATGATTTGTTTGGAGCTTAGCATATTGAATCCTATCAGCCACTGTAGCTGTCAACCATAGTTTTAGTGAGTTCTGTATTTTATATCTAGCTTACCTCTAGTTGCTTTTCATTAAATCAGACGTGCATCTCTTCGCAGACTCTTGTCCATGAAACCTTAAGTTGTTGGTCTTTCAGGTGCCACTCAACAACTGCTTTTTTTCTTTTATAAACAAGTACAACTAGTTCTTACAAAATAGTTGTCAGGGCCTAGGACCTAGATCAGTGTTCCCCAACCTTGGGCACTTTAAGATGTGTGGACTTCAATTCCCAGAATTCCCCCACCCCCCCCGGTGGGGGGGGGATTTTTAGGGGTTGAGGTCCAAAAATTTTTAAATGCCCAAGGTTGGGGAACACTGATCTAGGTCCTAGGCCCTGACAACTATTTTGTAAGAACTAGTTGTACTTGTTTATAAAAGAAAAAAAGCAGTTGTTGAGTGGCACCTGAAAGACCAACAACTTAAGGTTTCATGGACAAGAGTCTGCGAAGAGATGCACGTCTGATTTAATGAAAAGCAACTAGAGGTAAG